AGTCTCTGCATGCAGGATTCAGAGAGGTTTCTAAGGACTTTACTGCCTTTGCATGGGGTTTAGGGATTTCAGGAAGCCGTTTGAGGGCTTTCGGCCGAAGTTATAGGATGTGCGAAAGGCTATAACTATAAGACATGACCGACCCCAAACCAAAAACTAGAGCACCCCAAAGCCCTGAAAGCAACCCCGCGGTCGAGATTCAGATAGTGGTTTAGGGTTTAGGGTTTTGGGTTTTGGGTTTTGGGGTTAGGGGTTTAGGGTTTAGGGTTTAGGGTTTCAAACTCAAAACAGCCTGAGACAAAAACATGCTTGAAGGGCCGAGAGTCTGATAGTTGTCCTGCTGGATGTCAGGCGAGCCTTTGATCCAGTTCTTCCCAAACTCCTCTCCAGGGTTTAGGGTTTAGGGCTTCGGGTTTTGGGTTTAGGGTTTTGGGTTTAGGGTTTTGGGTTTAGGGTTTAGGGCTTAGGGCTTAGGGTTTTGGGTTTTGGGTGGCAGTGAACCAAAAGGCCATGGTCGTGCCATGTCGGGCCAGACCCCATGGCATACGGGACCGCACCACACCATGGCACACCATGGCATAATTCTGGTCGTGCACAAAATAGGGTTTAGGGTTTAGGGGAAACCCCATCCGTTCGTGCATGAGTAGCATGCGGCAGGCTATGCAATCTGGAGCAAACTTCACTGACAACTCGCCTAAACTCTAAACCCCCAAAACCCTGTTACCCTAAACCCTGAAGCCCCAAAACCTTGAATCCCCTAAACCCTAAACCCAACCCCTTTTCCCCATGAAGCCTAAACCCGTTTCCCCCTAAACCCTAAACCCTACCCGTTTCCCCCTAAACCCTAAACCCTACCCCTTTTCCCCTGAACCCTAAACCCCCTAAATCTTACCCCTTGTCCCCTAAACCCTATACCCCTTAAACCCCCTAAACCCTAAATCTTACCCCTTGTCCCCTAAACCCTAATCCCCCACAACCCCCTAAACCCTAAACCCAACCCCCTTGTCCCCTAAACCGGAAACCGCCAAAACCCCTTAAACCCTAAACCCTCCCCCGTGTCCCCTAAACCCTAGACCCCCTAATATAGGGGCCTAGACAGTTACCTATACTATTTTGGGAGCTCCTTATCATAATTGCACCCAATCCCTATTCTATTTTTAAGGCCCCGATACCCTTATAGTAGCCCTTGTAGAACCCTTTAAGGAACCTTAAAAGGATACCCGAAAACCCTATTCTAATCATTAAGGCCCCTATATTAAACCCTACTTGGAGGATCATGGGACTTAGTAAGTAAGGTTATAAGTCCCTGAATTGTGGTTATAAGTATAGTTACCCTAATTATAACCCTACTTACTAAGTCCCATGATCCTCTAAGTGAGATAGTTTGATTCCAAAGAGCAGGAGCCCTTGAAATGCAAGCTGAAACGCAAACTCTACCGCCTCCCTACGCCTTATAAGCACGGCAACACCCAAAACGCCTCAACTGCCTTGTCAATGTCATTCAAAGTTCGCAAGCTGCTATAAAGCTCCACCCCCTCCGAAATCCAGCTAGAGCACCCTAAACCCTAAACCTTCAAGCCGAAGCCTCGAGCCCTCTCCCTGTCATCGACCCTAACTTAAAGTCTTCCCAAGAGCCTCCAACCCCGAACCTGTGGGCCTAAACCCGACTCCCTGAAGCCCTTAGGCTAACCCTAAAATCCCAAAACCCGACAATCCCTAAAACCTTAAACCCCGCAAACCCCGAACCCTAAACCCCGTAACCCTGAACCCTGATCCGTGACTCTGGGGTCCCCGGCTTGCGGTCAACTTCATTTCGAGCTTTTGGCGAGTCTCCGCCGCCCGGGGCAGGGGCGACGTCACGACGACTCTGAGCCCGCGCTGCGGTGTCTCATGCTTCAAGGGTTTAGGGCTTTAGGGTTTAGGGTTGAGAGGGTTTTGGTGTTTAAGGGTTTAAGATTTTGGGTTCTTAATGGTTTTAAGGCTTCAGGGGCTTAAGGTGGAGATGCTTGTGGTGTAGGGCTTTCGGGGTTATATATTATGGATCTTGGGTTTTCGGCTTTGAAGGTTTAGAGTGCACGCTTTTGCATTCTAGGGTTTTCGGGGTTTGGGCTGCGGCCGAGAGACCAGGCTTCGGGGGGCTCTGACGGTTTTTGGGTTTCAGCATCTAGGGTTTTCGGTTTTTGATGGCATGCCTGCAATGATGGAGATCCGACAAACTCAAATGAAGCCGAGAAGGACCTCGTTTTTGCCGCCCAAACACGTGAACTCAACGACCTTCCGTTTTTCCACGTCAATACACCTAAGGATAACCAGGAAATTCAGTGCCTACATGTCGGTTGCTGTTTTAGTTTTCACACGGATTTACATATTGCCTAACCCTTCCAGCTTAGCATGTCAGGTTTTACTTTCAGTGGACATGTTGGCTTTAAATGGTTGACCGGATGATATACACGAGAACAAGCACTCACGAGTCACCCAAGACCTTTGTGGAGGTAGAAGTCGGTCAAAGTCTAAAGTGGTTGAGCCGGAGCGCTGCCAGGTACCGGAAGCGCTGCCAAGTACGACAAGATAATTGGCTCAGCCAAAATGTCCAGCATCTAAAACTCATACACACCTGTTTCCTGTTGCAATGCACTGCACTTGCATGGGCGTCACAGTGTTTTCAGTCTGCGCTTACTTCCTGTAGGGTTTGCTGTGGAAAGAAAAGCCCGCTTTTTCCGTCCATCCAAAAAAATAGGTCGCGCGGGGTGATGTTCAGTTTCTCTTCTGCTGGTGGCCACGGCTTGCCGCACAGCAGGTTCAAATCTTCATCCAAAGCAAAGGGTTGCCAGCAAATCTAGCACCGAGATTGAGGGCTGTGATTTAGGGTTTAGGGCTTAGGGTTTAGGGTTTAGGGTTTGATGTTGGTCGCTCCAGAGCTGGCTGAATCAGCGGGCGGCAAGTCCCCGCCATCATGTGAATCTCAATGATGTCAGCCAAGTTTCCGCAAGCGGCTTTGTAAGGCAGCCCGGTGCACCCTATGTGGATGAAGCTGGCTCCCAGAGCCACATCGTCGGAATCCATCAGCTTGTGTCCGTTGTTTCCCCGTGCTTCTGGGCTCCAGCGGCGTATACTTCCTGGCTTCTGAGTCCTCACTTCATTTCGTGATGACACCAAGCCGTTGTTGGCTGTGACCTTTCGCTAAATTAAACGTAAAACGTTTTGAAGTTGAGCTTCTACACGGCACTTGCCAAATAACCAAAGCAAAACAAACACAAAGCTGGGCAGGAAATTTGCACGACGGCGTCGAGGTCGATGAGATTAACAGTGATGCTTTCGTCAGATGTCTGCACTTTTAGGATGTTGAACTCATTGATATCGTTGTGAGCAATCAAGTGGCTGTGGAGATATGCGAGTGTGTCGCAAGTATCCTGGAACCCTTGTCAAAACTCGCTCCGCTCGCACTGTTGTCGTGACTCGTTGCTCTTTTCTGCAGAGTTGGAATTCGAATCTCTAAAAATATACCGAAGGGCCCGCTGCCCCGTGTGATCTGCGCAAGAATTCTTACAACTCCGGGATGTGACAGTATGTGGAGCCTATGCGTTTCCAGGCGGATCGTTGTCTTGTCCCGCTGCTCTTGGCCGGGCTCAAGGTGGGCGTTGTCTTTTAACACCTTCGCCGCGACAGCCACACCACGAGAAAAAAGCCTTCATGACAGATGCAAGCCCTTGGCCAAGCGTCTCGCCTTCAGTGAACTCGATCTCTGGGTTTGGAACGTTCAAGTACACAGCATGTGAAGCCTACTACCCGGCAACCTGGACACTCATAGCCCACAGGCGGCGTCAACATTCACAGCTCGCAATCTGAAACGGCATGTCGAAACCTAAAAGGCAGAGCTTTGCAAATGCGGATGTTGACTTCTTTTCTCATTGATTCCGTCCATGTCGTGGATACCGGCAAGCTCTGGGCTTAGGATCGCAACAGCACAGCACTCAGGCCCACTAGCAGCAGGACAGGCCGGTGAAAGAGAGGTGGCGATTGCACATTCCCGGGAGCTACATGTTCGAAGCACTCAGTGTGATTGGACATGCAGTGCCCGGGAGCAGGGGCATGCAGATTAGGGCTTAATGCACCTTGCATGCGAGATGGGGCCTACCTGCAAATGAGAGGGCAAACCTCAGACTACCCTCAGCCACACCGAACCTCACGCAAAAGCCGAACGTGACAACGCAGCCCTGAGTGCAGCAAGTCTGACTGTTTTCGCACGGCTTCTCCGATGCCCTTCCGTGCGTCGAGAGTGCTTCGGCCTGCATTGCGGAAGTGAATCTAAATGTGAGTTTCCGAAAACAAGGGGTACCAGAGTTTGTAATAAGGATCCTACTATTTACTGTAGGGTGCTATATTGGGGTCCCCTACTTTCGGAAACCCCCAAATCCTCCAACTTGCCTAGAGCTTTAACCAGCTTTTCCGCAACTCATGCACCAGTGGGTTGGAGAGTCTGTTTGCTCTACACGCAACTGTTTAGGCTGAATGTTCTTCGGGTCTGTTTGATTTCCACGGCCATGTAACTTCCCGCAGAGCAGAAGTGCGTGATGTCGGTGCTCCCGTTTTTCTGCTGTGAGGCGTTGCATGATTGCTCGTGCCATACAAAGTGCCAGAACCCAACTTCGTGTCACACCAGCCAACAGCCTTGGAGAAGAGTCTCGCTAGCAGATGTGCTGCCCTGACGGCCACGAACGTGCTAGGGCTTGGAGTTACCAGGGCTGACCAGATCGATGAGCCTTGCAAGGGGAAGCCACAAGAACCTACCCTCCGACCCCTTCTACAGTTACTTTACCTTAAGAACCCAAAACCCAGTTTTTCGTAGGTTCTTATTATAAACCCTAATATGGGATTTATAGGGACCCTACAAAAAAGTAGGTTTTGGGTTCTTAAGGTAGTTGAGAATGAGGCTTCTGCACTTCTCAGAATGACACCGCTACAAGCTGGCTTCCCGCATGCAAGCCCAGCATGCGCTTTTCCGCCGATGCGAGCAGCAAAGACCGCAGCTGTCCCTTGACTTCTGTTCGGAGCTTTCTGACCTGCCAGAGGGGTTTAGGGTTCAAGGGCTTAGGGTTTAAGGACTTTGGGTTTACGGGTTCAGGTTTAAGGGTTTAGGTTTAAGGGTTTAGGGTCTTGGGATGCCGCATTTGGTTTACAGGGGAACTTCCTGAACTTGAACTTCTGAGCTCGGCAGCAGAACACTAAGAGTGTCCATAAACCTTCAGCCCCTACTTTAAACTTTAAACTCTGTACAGTCAATCCTGAAACTGATTTCGTACCCTGAACATCCCGAGTCCCAAACCGTACATCCTAGTCCCTCGCCTGTAAGCCCGAAACGCCCTGGTCTCTCTCAGAGTTTGTCAGCGAAGCGGAACTCCCTCCAACGACGCTGCGATTGCTGAGGTTGCCGGAGTGCGACATCTGCAACTTCACGGACTTGGAAACTTGGCAGGGTGAGGTACGAAGCACTTTGCCTCTATTTCGTCGCAAGCCTTTGCCGGCAGGCACCTCAATTTCGTGACAGCGCGAAACCCAGCCTCCTCGCGACCATCCTCGGAGAGCAGTGAGACATTGACGTGGCCTGCCAGGGCTGACAAGGCTGCTCATGACTACACATAACCTGTCTATATATATATATATGTGTACATATAATATGTAACATATAATGTATAAGCATACATCTACACGGGTGTACTAGTTTATCGATATTAGCATGAGGCTGGGAATTGCAGAGCAGGTGCTGTTGGAATTTCCACTCAGGTCAGGCGCATTCCCAAACACAAACCCCGAAGCATCGCAGAATCTTCTTGCAGCCCCTACACTTGTTAACAAGGCTCCAAAGCCTACTGGAAAGCGACTGCACTTCTTCCAATCTAGATAACGGCGGGATAATTGCAGCACTCTAATGAGCAATACCACCCTTATGAGGAATACCTAAAAAGCAACATTACTGAATCAAGTTTTATTTGAGCCCTCACTGAGATCCTTCGCCAAGGAACCTTGGCGAAGGAGCTTCCGAAGCTCTCGCTGCCTGGCTCTGCTTCACGCAAGGCCAACGAAGCCTAAAGAGCATGACAGTGAAGATTATGACGATGGCGATGGTGATCTAAGCGACGATGATGATGATGATGGTTATGATGATGGTGATGATGATGATGATGACAATGATAATGATGATGGTGATGACGATAGCGATGATGATAGTCATGATCATGATGAAGAGGGCAGTAGATGTTTCGACTAGATGGTTCGACTAGGCCGTATCAGCATGACGAATACACTAGCAGCGAGAGTTGTACTATTCATGACAATCTTCGCAACGACGATACCGGTGAAGGTTGCCATAAGTTCCAGGAACCTCATCTCACGAGTCAATGTAATCATCGGAACCGTAGCAATCAGAACAAGCATAGCAGTCATCTTAAGCGAGCAAACAGAGTGCCCAGATGTAAGGCAAAAGGCGATGTGCGGTAGAGCAGGATGCTGCTCAAATGGGTCAAGATGACGAAAATAGAGACAGGTCAAACTTTGTCATACATGTCTAAGCCTGTTCGCCGTGCACACCACCAATGGAACGAAGGAAAGATTGCCGTGTTCTCACGACACGCCTGCTACCTGGTGATGGTTATTCATGGTGAGGAGGGGAAACGGTGCAGCACCTGCTTGCCGATCAGAAGCCGGGAAGGGGATAGTACTGTGTATACCGATGCTCATCAACATATATTTGATTGTTTTTATATGTTAAAATGCTTTTGCACTGATGTACTGGGTTAGTAACATATTGATATATCAGTATAATGCTATATCATGCAAGCAAGGAGCCGGGTTCCGGAGTCCAGCGGCTCCTGCACGTGACGAGCGAGCGCGTGAGATAGAAAGAGAGAGGCAGACATAGAGTGTGTTTTGTGTGTATGTGTGTATATATGTGTATGTGTATATATATATATATATAGAAATACAACCTATATATATATATATATATGCTGTACCTCCATACATACATATATATATATATATATATGTTTCTATACATAAGTATATATATATATATGGATACATATACAGAGGCAGATACATGGATGGATAAATAGACAGACGGATAGGTAGATAAATAGGTAAACGGATAGACAGATAGGTAAGCATGTATGTATAGTACGTACACGACAATGAACTCATACGTGAACGTCTATACAGATATATATATATATATACATACACAAACAAACTGTCGATTGCTGTGGAGCTTGGTCGGTTTGTGAATGAGTTCTAGGTTTTCCAGATGTGTCGCTTTCTGCCAGAGCTTGCGACAAGAAGCAGGAATGCGCAATCATTCAACCTGTTTACAGAAACGTGAACATACTCACTATGCTAGACGTTCTCATGCCATGTTGTTCTTTTCTGTGCAACATGCAAGGTGCAAGAATTCGGACCACACGACTCCTCCATAAGCCTCATGTGTCTCCGTTTAGGGTTTAGGGTGCCAACTCAGTGTAGGGTGCCAACTCAGCCAACACGTGACAAGTCGGAGCCACGCAGAAAGCCCGAGCCTGTTTCAGCCGTGACAGCCGCTCGCCAACCGCCTGCAAAGAGTCATGCATCTGTGCCACAGGTCGCTAATGTAGGGGCCTTAATAATTAGGATGGGTTTTTTCGGGGGTCTTTATTACAATTATAGTATAATATACCCCAAACCCTATTCTAATATTCAGGCCCCTATATTCTTCGTCGTGCTGATCAAGACGAAGACACAGCAAGCCTCCAACCGAAAATAACCCTAAAGACGACACATTCCAGTCAAACAGACCAGACCTTGTGCAGGAAGAAATTCGCCCACCAGCCTGTGGTCCTTTAACTTCGGGATGACGGTCTGACGACTTACGGTCTGGCAGGCAGAAACAGCTGCAGCTACAGCCTTGACACGTGTTGAAAGTTAATTTTGAACTCTGGGTGTATGAGCCTTCATCTGCATGCAAAGCTGCAAATCCAATCCTCATCAATGCTTGTTCATTGTTTCCGCTGCCTTTACCCCTATACGTTCCAGCCAAAGGCAAGCTGTGCTGTCCACTTCCGGTCTTTTGCTGAATTAACGAGGTGCGAGGTCTGCCAGAGCCCCAGCAACCATCTTATCCCACATCAAAACCTTCCTTGACTTGTTCTGCCCGCCTGCACCCGGGCCAGGGCTGCAAAATCGCGGGCCCATGCCGGCACACGGGGGTGTGGCACCTGCTGAGGGGGCTCAGACGTACATGCCGAGAACATGCATGCCCAAGCTGAGCCTCTCACCCACTGGAAATCATATCAACTCAACCCTAAGCCCTAAACCCTAAACCCTAAACCCTAAACCCTAAACCCTAAACCCTAAACCGTTAAGCAAGGAAGGTTGCAAGGATGTCCCGCCCTGCAGAAGCTCAAAAGCACCTTCCTGGAGGATGAAGGAACCAAGGCCTGGATTTCCAAGCTCCCTTACCTTCATGTGGGTGGTGGTCAAAATTATGGTCCCTTTTTGGGTCCTTATTATAATACGGCACCTATTATTTAGGGTACCCCAATTAAGGGACCATAATTTTGACAACTACCCAATGTGAGTAGGCACCTCGTTGCGCACGCAATGCTCCATGCCGTAGTCCACTAAGAGCTCCTCATCAAGGCCTGCGACCGACCCGGAACTGCCAAACCACTAACCCGAAAGCTCGGCAAAGGCTTCGCTGGTGCAACTTGGTCTCAAGGCTCACGAATTGCCGGTTGCCCCGGCATCAAAGCAATTTGGCGCTACCAAAACCGTATTTACAAGACCCTTACTCTGCACCAACCACGGCATCAAGCCGAACCTGCCTATAGGCTGAGTCACCTCGATGGTCGCCACATGCATTTCAGATGATCCAATCGCACAGTTCGGAGCATCCGCGATTCCCACGTAATGGTTCACAAACCTCAGTGATATCGAAGTTTACACTAGCTTCAAGAACTCTTGACCCAAGTGCAGCTTCACGGCAGGCATTTTTCAAAGCAGTCATGACCCACGAAATTTGTGTACAGCTGCCAGAAGCATCGGTGCCAAGTTGCCTGGTTACTGCCGATCCCATCTAGAATCTAGTGTGAATCCACTCCAACATCTGCGAGTCACGATGCCTCATTGGAGTAGCGCGCTCCATCCACGACCATGCCGTTGCGAGACAGGAGGGAATAGGATGATCTCGGTCTGCCAACCGCGACTTGACAGAAGGATGCTCTATTCTTTCCGGAAGTCTGTGCCGGAGAGCAGCAAAGGGCACAGCAGTCAGACACAAACTAGTGAAGCAAAAAACTCATGTTGAACAGCTTCGGGAGAAAGCCGCAGTACTGGTTAGGAAAAACAGCCAGATTCCACCACATACTCCCATCCCTCAAACAACTAAGAAATGGTCTGAATGCAGAGAGGGTTCGAGTACTGGGCATGGTCCGCTTCGCTGTAGTACAGCTCGCCTAATGAATGGGCTTTAATAATTATAAGCTGGTTTTGGGGCATGCATGCATTTATATATATATATATATAACATAATATATATATATATATATATAGAGAGAGAGAGAGATCTAGATCTAGATCTAGATCTAGATCTAGATCTGGATGCTCATTTATTTGTTTCTATTTATTTGTTTATTTACATAATTTGTGTTTATATGTATATTTGCATGCATATATATATATATACATACATACATACTATGATATGACTAAACCAAGAAAATCCAAGAAACCTTTAGGAATATTACTGGTAATCATTCGGGAGTAGACTTAAATTCATGCTTTCTTCATAAGTGTGTTTGCATGCACATACACATATACATATACATATACATATACATATACATATACATATATGCAGACATATACATAAACACATACATATACACATACACATAC